GAAAATAGCACTCATATAGTCATTAAACGGGCAACTGGTGAATAAGTATCAAAATAATCTTCACCTTCTTTCTACATATAGCCCTTTGCTACAAGCCTCACCTTGTACTTCTCAATAGTACCATTAGGCCTAAGCATTTTCTTGAACACCCATTTACATCATATAGGTTTGCACCTATAAGGATGATCAACCACCTCCCAAGTTTCATTAGACATAATAGAGTCCATCTCACTTCGAACAGCTTCCTTCCATAAGTCAGCATTGAGAGATGAATATGACTCTTCTATGGTCTTAGGAGTATCATCCACAAGGTATATAATATAGTCTTCACCAAAGGACTTTGCAGTCTTCCGTCTCTTACTCTTTTGAGTGACTATATTATTATCCTCTAGATTTTCTTCATGGGTTTCAACATCAGTATGTATTACCGGTTCATGTGTTTCAGGTAATAAAATAGATTCATGATTATAAGTGTCAGGTGTATTCTTCATAGGAAACTCATTCTAAAAAAATATAGCATCTCTAGATTCCATGATAGTACCAACATTCACATCAGGCACCCCAGAATTTATTATTAAAAATCTATAACCCACACTATGAATAACATAACCAAGAAAGACACAATCAACGGTTTTGTCCAACCTTTCGCTTCTTGTTAATTGGCACATTTACCTTTGTCAAATAACTCTATGTTCGCAGGTAAGAGAGATTTAATCTCTTCTTCTCCCATTCCTCGAATGGTGTAATTTCTTTGTTTTTAGTGGGCACTCTATTCAGGACATGACAAGCTGTTAATATCGCCTCACCCCACCATTCCATAGATAGTCCCGCTATCTCTAACATGACGTTAACCAACTCAGTTAGAGTAAGGTTCTTTCTCTCTGCAATCACATTGGATTGTGGTGAGTAAGGCGGTGTCCTCTCATGAATAATCCCATACTCAGCACAAAACTTAGAAAAATCATTTGAGAAATATTCTCCTCCACGATCAGTTCGTAACCGTTTGATGTTCTTCTCAAGTTGGTTTTCTACTTCAGCTTTATAGATCTTAAAACAATGCAATGCTTCATCTTTTGATTTTAGTAAATACACATGGCAAAATCTAGTGCAATCGTCTATAAATGTTATAAAATACCTTTTGTCACCTTTGGTCAACTCGTCATTCATTCCGCACAGATCGGAATGAATTAGTTCTAATAGAGCCAAGTCTCTTGCCGCAACAGCCTTATAAGGCTTGAGAGGTTGTTTTGATTCAACACATACATGGCATTTAGAACCTTTGACAAAATTAAATTTTAGGATTAAATTTAAACCAGCTAAGCGAGTCATACAACCAAAATTAATATGACATAAGCGCGAATGCCAAACATTTATCTCATTAACTTGGCTCACATGGTTCACAGAATTAACACATGCATCGTTTAAAGACAAGTGGAACAAGCCTCCGCTCTCATAGCCTTTGCCAACAAAAGTTCCATACTTAGAAAGTACACACTTATTCGACACAAACACAAGTTTATAACCATCACGACATAACAGAGAACCACTAATCAAATTCTTCCTTATTGAGGGGACGTGCTGCATGTTCTTCAGCTGAACGGTCTTTCCCGAAGTAAGCTTTAGATCGACCGTACCAACACCATGTACAGCCACATGCGCCCCGTTCCCCATCAACAAGGAGGAAGTCCGCCCGACCTGATAAGAAGAAAACAAAAAAAATATCAGCATATACATGAATATTAGCCCTCTGTATCCACCCACCAATCAGGTGAATGAAAAACTAAAAGAATTGTATATAATAAATTACCATACCCCGATGTTTCTCCATCAGCCTCAATCATGTTTGCAGATTTCTTCTTGGGCTTCCACTTGCCATCCGGACAATCCTTAGCATAATACCCAGGCTTGCCACAAGTGAAACAATTCCCCTTTTCCTTGTTGTTATTCTTCTTAAAAGGTGTAGCGTTTTTTTTATTTGAGTTCTTACTGGAATTTCTTTTTGTGGGAGTGTTGAGGATTTTTCTGCACCACATAGGCACTAGAACCTCCCTCAATAGTTTTCTTGCCATGGACACCCTTTGCTCTCGCCTTCTCTTCAACATCCAAAGAGCCAATGAGATCGGCAATGCCAAACTCCTTTCTCTTATGTTTTAGAGAAGTAACAAAATCTGTCCAAGCCTGTGGCAGCTTTGTAATAATACAGCCTGTCACAAACTTATCTGTCAATACACAACCAAACATTTTGAGCTCTTTTGCTAGTGTTTGTATCTCATGAGCTTGTTCTACTACAGAACAGGTCATCAAACATCCTGTAGTCATGAAATTGCTATATGACATACAACTCACTACAACATCAGAAACCCCATATTTGGCCTCAAGTGCATCCCACATCTCTTTACCAGTTTGTAGCGAAACATATACATCCACTATGGTGTCTCCTAACACGCTAAGAATTGCAGCCTTAAACGTAGTATCAGCATGTTTGAACGCACGCTCCTCATCAGGAGTATGCGGTCCAACAGCCCTAGATTTAGTGACAAAATAGCAGTGCATAGCAGTTAACCATAGAATGCACCTCTGGCGCCACCTCTTGTAATGAGTGCCCTCAAAAAAAATTGGTTTCAGTATACTCGCAAAGCCGACTACCGAGAATGGCCTTTCACGTTTTTGGATTGTTAGAATTTTAGGCAATTTCAGTAATAATTTAATCCAAAAGATAGCAATAATCAAAAGGTTTGTGACATCATGTATGTGCTTGTGTGATCTAAGCATGAATGGCATGTAAATGATACTAACCAGCAAGATATTGATTGAAAACTTTACTGGATAGCGAACAACGAAAACATACCTAAGGGCAGAGCCAGATACACTAGTTGACATAGTGTCTGTCGGTGTAGTCGTCCCGCTCCATGCAGTGTAGAAGAGAAGCAGTGTCGATCACCAAAGAGCCTTCGCTGTGCACCAGGAAGAAGACCAAGAAGACACCTGGGAAGAAGAAGACGTAGCGAGTAGTCGTGCCGTCAGCGACACTCCCCAAAAACGTGATTGTCGTCTTCCACCCGAACAGGCGAACTCACAGACAGCATGCGTTTTGGAGGCCTACTCTCCCAGGACTTGTGCGCGCAAGTACCGGGACTGGGAGAACTACAGAGCAGCTGAATATGTGGTTGTCTCACGAAGCGAAGAAGAATGACTGACGAAGGAGATGGGATTATATGCTCGCGGCTGGAAAGCGAAGAGGATCATTAGGAGATCAAGAGACAGGAAATGAGAGAGCTCTCGCCATCAAGGTTCAGCGGCAGTAACAGAGAAAACTCCCATCGTCAAATTGTCACTAAATAAAAACGGAAGAAACTTCACCACGCCACGCCACGTCCGGTGGCGGCGCGGCGGCGCGCGCGTGTGGCATACTAGCGTTCTTTTCTTAACTTCTCAATATAGAGAGACAATTTACAAGCATATAAACTGAGTCAACGTCTAATCAAAATCCCGTATGATATTAAACCATATATCACGTATTAATACGGGCCATGTAGTTTATTTAATTTATTAAATATTATATTGACCAAGTCCATAATATATCCAACAGTTCATAGGTTTATCAGGCAAACAACAAGCATCAAAACAGTCTAATTGACATGTTTGTCGGCTTCCGTGTTTAGACCTATCTTCGCTGCGTGTCTGGGCCTATGCAGCTTCGGACGATTTAGTCTACCTGTTGATCAAATTTAGCGTCAACAGTTACGCAGAGGGCAAGGCTCAAATTTCATTTTCCACTAAACAACGGCTAAATAACAACCTTGTGCAATGTTTTTTTTAATGTTTGTGTTAAAATCCTTGAATCATCTAGCAGTCGGTCTAGAGGGTAGACATCAAGAGCGGTAGACAACAGCAACGATGTAGACCTAGAATGCTATCTAGAGGGAGGAGAAGGTATCAAACCTGAGATCCCAGAGGGAGTGGATCCAGAGGCCTCCATCAGCTTCGTCGGTGAAGTCTGCTCACGGGCAGCGACGGTCGGTGAAGAGAGGCGACGCAGTGGAGACGGTGATGCAGTGCAGTGGCGACGGGATGACGGTGATGACGGTGGCGGCTTCCCGTCGCTGGCTGCGCACCCTCTTCGAGATCGGAATTAGGGTTTGTCGGTGGGGTTTGCGGCTCACGGCGAACCTCGTGCTTTGAGCCGCCGGCCCCCACCTCTTTATATAGCGCAGTGCGACGGGGGCCCACCAACCATGTAGGGTTGGGCGCCCCCGATCAGGGCGCGTGACCAAGGCCCAATAAGCCGTTGGGCTTATTGGTTAAGAGATCAATCTAACAGTTTGTACAACTTTTCTGATTTTAATATATATACGCGATAGGGTCCTTTTGTGCTTCAAAAATAATACTATAAGACATTTTGTCAAGAATTAAGTCGCGTAGTGTTTACTAGAATCTTGCGACCACATTTTGTAGTCTTTTTACAAGATAGAAAGCGGAGGACGATATATTTTTTAAGAAAAAGGAATGCATGTAGAGCTAGATCCTAGAGCTACCTTTCGAGTGAAAGCATATCGCTCAAATTTTATGTTTTTCCGTGGCTGTGACAACTATATACCACGCCAAAGTATCTCAAAGCAAACCCAGCGGACACAAATTTTTCACAGATTAGAGAAAATAAATTATTCAACAAAAACAGCAGCAAAAGCCCAATAACAAATGATCCTTCGGGGACAAAATATGCTCAGTTCCACTCAAATCATTTGCCCATTCGGAGATCACTTCCACGCAAATCTTTTCCCACTCCACCCTAATGATCATCAATTACATAAACAAGGGCCGCCATGTCCGCATCTTTGAAAAAAAAAGGAACAATCTTCGGCAGCAGCATCTGGTAACAGTAGTTTGGGACTTTCAGTTGCTATATAAAGGGGAGGAATGCAGGAATCAGAGGGCAAGCTAAACGAGGAGTTATCAAGCAACGCGTACCAAGCAGCGCAAGCAAAGCTCCGAGCTTCGCCATGAACATGGGTGGCAGGACCCCGGCGACGATCCGGTGCAAGTACTGCAGCGCGTGCCTCACTGTGTGCCCCGGCGAGCGCTCCGTCCAGTGCACGCAATGCTGCAGCGTGACGCGCATCCGGCGGTCGTTGTCCTCGCGGGTCCCGCTGCCGGCGCTGACGAGGCCGGCGGCGGCGGCGCCCATGGGCGCCTTCCCGTGCGCCCGCGGCAAGAAGCGCGCCGTCCTGGTCGGCATCTCGTACGCCAGCGTGCGTCGGGGCTGCGGCCAGCTGAGGGGGCCCATCAACGACGTCAAGTGCATGAGGCAGCTCCTCTGCCAGCGCTTCGCCTTCCCCAGCGACGGCATCATCATGCTCACTGGATGCAATCGTCCATGCATTTCGATCTCTCTCAAGAAACTAATTGATGCATGGGGGCAACTCCAGTGCGTGCAGATGACCAGAAGGACCCGTTCAGGCTACCGACCAAGGACAACATCCGCATGGCGATGCAATGGCTGGTGTAGGGGGTGCAGCAACGGCGACTCCCTAGTGTTCCATTTCTCTGGGCTGGGTGCGTAGGACGCCGACAAGGACTGCGACAAGCTGGACGCGTACGACGAGGCCATCTGCCCGCTGGACTCGTTCCAGAAGGGCCCCATCCTGGACGACGAGATCAACGAGACCATCGTCCGCCCGCTGGTGCACGGCGCCAAGCTGCACGCCGTCGTCGACGCCTGCCATAGCGCCACCGTCCTCGACCTCCCCTTCCTCTGCAACATGTCTAGGACCGGGAACTGGCAGTGGGAGGATCACCGTCCCCCGTCGGGCGTCTGCAAGGGCACGAGCGGCGGCCAGGCGGTGCTCATCAGCGGCTACAGCGACGGCAAGACCAAGTTCAGCGTGGTCAGTGCACACTGATCCTATACTTCTATGGTCGCCATGAACGTAACGCACACTCTAATCTCTTGCGACTGGTTTGACACGCGACACGCCATGTTGTGTTGCAGACGCCGGAGGCCTGCGCGACGGTGGGGGCCATGACGCACAGCTTCATCAAGGCGGTGGAATGCGAGCCGCAGGGGGTCACCTACGGCCGCCTGCTCACCTCCATGAAAGCCATCATGACCAACGCCGGCGGCTGCAACCAGATGCAGGGTCCTATCGGCGCCGGCGCGCCCGCCCGCAAGGTCTCAAACTTCAGCGGCGTGCAGGTGAGGCTCTGACCATCGCGATACTGATGAGCTGAGCACTGACTTTACTTCGTTGTCCCTGACATGCAACTCATATAAGCATGCATGGCTCATCTTGCAGGAACCTAACCTGTCCTGCTCGGAGATGTTCGACGTCTATCGCAAGCCTTTTGCGCTGTAAACTGCCGTCTCCCTCTCCTCTAGCTTGCCAGTGCAGACTACTACATACTGCCGTTTGGACTCTATAAACTGCCGTGTCGGAACAATAAACCAGACGGGTTTAAGCATGATATGATGCTTGCATGCTAATGATGCGTGTATAATTGTCTATGTGTCAATAATGTGTGTCTATGTGTCACCGGCCGTGAGGCAAGCTCTAGCTTGTGGACGACCTGGTTGATCATATCGTCCATGGCTCCCGAGCCTACTGTACCTTATGGCCCATTGTAACAAGGCTATTTTGTTTCTCTTTTATATAACTCTATATAAATTATAAAATAAACTAAGTGTTAAGATACTTAATATCACATTCAGAGATTGATCATAACTTCATATAATCAATCAAAATGACATGGAAACCAATGAGATGGGTGCGGTGGAACTGAAGCCGCTTCCCATTGGCATTTGTCATTGGCTTGTCAAGAATTAAAACAGGACCTCAGCCTTCTTTCACAGGTCAAAAGTGTGTTTCTTTGAGCACAGAAGAGTCCTCAGACGTTTTACAAGAGACTTCTATGGTCCGTGTGATTACAAAGGTTTTGTTACAATTACAGGTTAGAACAGTTCAAGAACCAAGTAAACGGCAAAATTGAGAACCAAGCACAAGATGTCCTAGCTCAGAATTTCCAACCATCATTGTAGCTTGACCTCCTGAATTAATAGGAGAAGGAATGTTAATGATTCTACAAATTAAACCAACTAGTATTTATGAAATAAGCACTTCAGTTTCTAATAAAATCTGATGACTGACGAGATCCTGTATATGAACAACAGTTCAATTGAACTACAGAAATTAAACTTCTGAACTTAACAAGCAAATAGATACATAACTATTAACTATTACGCTAGATGGTGAGGAGGTCAATCTATATAATTATTTTTGTGATAACGTATTTATTCTTAATAAATTGGAAGCATCACAACCATTGCCTACCTTTCCCCCGATTGAAGCACTTGGAGCCGGTTCCTGAAAAAAATCAATGATGCTCTTGCACACCTCTTTGGACTTCTCTAGATTGGCCGCATGCCCAGCGTTTTTTACGACTACTAATCTAGAATTCTCCCCAAGATGCCTGAGAATATAAAAATTGAAATTTAGCAATAGATAATGTGTGCTTGATACATCACCCTGCCATTTATAATCAGAGGGAATGAAACACCAAACTGACCTCTCCAACCTATGCGCCAGCTCCATAGGAAAAACCTGATCCTGCTCCCCCCAAATGATCAACGTTGGCTGCATGCGTAGTTGGGCCAAGAACAGAACGCCATCAGTAATCCAAGGTTTCAAGAGTTGCTTGCAATTAAAGAGAGAAATGTAAGCTACCTGATTTATCTTTGGAAGATCTGATAGTTTCCTATCGTTGATGAGAGCATGTAGAAGCTCGGTCTTCTCCTCAAGATGATCTGAGCCCATCACCTGAAGCATCATCAAATTCATCAAGTCAGATGTGAAAGAGCCCAAATTAAGAAAACGAAAGTGACAAAAAAAATTAGAAGAGAGTAATCATAGGAGCGGACATTGATGTAATCCTTGAGGAAGCAGGAGGGCATGATGGGCGGTGGCCGGACGAAGGTCAGCTTGACGAGCCGGCGCACCTCCGCCGGCCGCCGGGGCACGAGCAGCTCGGCCGCCTCCCCGACGTCGGCGACGGGGAACAGGCCCGCAGCGAGGTCCCCCTCCTCCAGACACACCCCCGACGACACCAGGACCACCCGTTCCACGGCCTCCGGGTACATGGCGGCCATCCGGTACCCGACGAAGCCGCCGTAGCTGACGCCGACCACGGCGAACCGGCGCACGCCCATGCCGTCCATGGCGGCCTTCACGGTCCTGGCCTGGAAGGTGTCGGACCGGTCGGGGACCGTGGACGAGGAGGCGCCGAAGAAGAGGAGGTCCGGGACGATGGGGTCGAGGCCGGCCGCAAGGAGGCTGCGGAGGTACGGGGCCCACTGCCACGTCGCCGAGGCGCCGAAGCCGTGGAGGAGGAGCACGGGTCGCCGCGCGGGCCGCGGGGGCGCCCAGAGGTGGACGACGGTGCTGGTGCCGGCCGGCGAAGGGAGGCGGACGGAGAAGGGGCGCAGGCCTGCGGAGAGGAACCGGCCCCGGAGTAAGCAGTCACGCGCGGCTGCGAAGCTGAGGAGCACGCACGGGCGCCGCCGCCGCGGCTGCTGCTGGTCCCCGGCGAGCCCTTTGGGAGGAGGCAGAGGCAGCCCAGGCGCCGGCTCCTCGGAGTGGGTGGTGGTAGGCAGCCCAGGCGCCTGTTCCTCGGCGGGGGTGGTGGCCATGATCGGCGACCGCCGGCGCGAGGGGGGCCCGAGCTCCGGCGATCGCTGAGGCCTGGGGCGATGGGCTGGGGCGCTGGGCAAGGCGAGGAGGGATGGCTGGCGTTGCTATTTTTGGCGGGCCGTGGGCTCCGTCCGTTGTTGGGCGTGACACGTGGACCCAAATGCCAACTTGGGAGGATTCCTTTCCAAAAAACTAAAAATGCGAAGGTTGAGTCATTTTGAGCCACAAGCCTAGATGACAATTTGGGGTGGGGGTGGAGAGGGTTTTGATTGAGTCTAGAAACACTACTATAGAAAGAACCTTGTCAAGTTTTATATGTGTGGCTCTGACTTAAGAGCTAAGAACTCACATATTACTATTTTTTAACCAGCGTATGACAGATAACATGTTGTACATTAATTAACTGGTATGAGATGAGATGGATGTCAAAGCTTGGCTGTCCGCTGTCGAGTATTTTGTCTGGTCACTAAGCTGACGAAGGTATTTTAACTTTGTGATGGGCCCCGGTACCTTACAAAAGTATGAAACCAAATTTTATTTGAAATGAAATCCGGTGGGTTTTTTTTATAGATAAAGCCGAAGTGACGTGCTCTAAGTTGGCCCTGATGTAGGTGCCTATTCCCTAAATGTGCCATTGATATTTCCAGGTTCGCCACCTTCGCCTTTGCTAGAAGCCAAAAGAGGCTCCACACTTATTTGCCGATCCGATTTGCTGGTTCAGCTCTCTGATTCCTCCTTGTCGTGAAGACGTAGACGCTGGTGAGACATTCACTGGTGCAGGTGCAGGTGCAGCCGTGTGTCTAGGAAGGACAAAGCTGCAGGTTCCACGTGTCGCAGTAGATTGTGTCGGTAACTAACGTGTTAGACTTATAGCTTATCATATCAATCTGTGTCTCCAGTTCTCCACTGATGATTCACGACCTTCGAGCTACCTGATTATCAAATTCAACAAATAATTCAATTCGTCCACGATAGGACACTGACCACTGTGCTTTTAAACCTGCAATGCAAGTCCGAGCGTAGAAAAGAACTACTATGCTTTTCTTTGGCAATGGCGGATGTGTATTACTGGGCCATGCTTTAGATATCGCAAATTGGCACCATTATGGCTCGATACGGATGCAGGATTTACAGCTAAATCCATAAAGACGTTGAGTTATAAACTCTATATCAAATAAGACGCGATATTCTACCGATAATCAGTGCAATGAAACTACGTTATAGTAGTACCAGCAAACGCGAGAAACAGTCAGGGGTGAACAACTAGCTGAAGAATATTTACAGGACTAGTCTGACAAAGGGGAACAAGGAAACCGGTTCCCTGCCTAATAACTGATCTAAAAGGCTCAGCTTCACCAAATGGCAGACATCGGGGCATCATCTATGCAGATCAAGTCCTCCAGTCCAGCCATGAAGTCGTCCGCACCACCAGCCGCCTCGCTTAGCATCTCATCCTGCATCATCTGTTCCAAAGTAGCCAGCATCAAAGCATGATCAAATCAAACCGGGAAAAAAAACAAAGAACAGGCCTGTAGCAAGCTTCCAAAGCATAGGAGTGATCAGATCATACCCTGGACTGTTTCATTTCAGCAACGCAGGTTGTGAGCCTGTGGTACTGCTCTCTTGCTTCTGGATACTGCGACATAGAGTGCACCCGGGCAAGTGCTCTCTGTAGCCTGGCTTCGGCCTGCCTCCTGCCGTCGTGCAAGAAATCGTATTCATCCTCGGCCTTTGCAGGTTGGATTTGTGATGGACCTTCTAGTTGTTTCTGAGGCTGAAATCCACGTAACCCAGGCCTCTTTCTCCTCCATCTCAGTATGACTTTCTCGACGATACCAATTGACCAGACTACCTTCCGGTAGTTCTTCCTCACTTGATGTCCTCGTACATGAGCCTGATCACAAAGACAAGTTAATAAATCTTAATGCTTGCACAGGATAGTTGGCATTTTGAGAGTTGTACGTCATCATTCATGGCATTACATTTAGCCAGTCAGAAGAAACTAAGGATTTGGCAGCTCACACCACATCCAAAAGTTCTTACAACTTATGGAACTGATATGCATGCTTTGAATTGAATATAGCACGAAAATTCTACAGTTAAGCCTACATCCAAAATTATCAAACAAATATTGACTGATGCATGCTACTCTGAAGGCTGAGCTGCTACATATATCTACGAATACAATTTTAGTATTCACACTACAGGGAGAGCAAATTCTTATGTTTGTGTACCATGCAACAAATTGTGCAAAAAAAAAAGGTTAGCAACAGCCTACTAGCTTGATGAATGCTGTTTCTTGCATGCATAAGGACCTTTGAGCTACACTACTGTGCTATTTCAAATAGATGAATTGCTTTTAAAAAAGAGGAGAGAGATCATCTATTGTCAAAGGAAGCAAAGATTCATCAAAACCATTCAAGCAAATTAGTGGAACAGATGGCTTCTGTTATTAGCTAAATCATGCAAGACAGGGTGTTAGCATTGTAGGTCAACTAAGTGGTGTTATTTGCAAACCTAAATAGTCAGGGAAATGTAGTAGGCACGAATATAAAGTTGCAAAAAATCATTATTGTTAGCATTACCTGTAACTTGACAATTCTATGGCGAATGATCATAAACTCCTTTCTTCCCTTCCATCCACGAAACTTGTTCTGTATTCGAACAGCAGCAGAATGCAGATGTGTATCATGTTGTCCTGGTTTGACATTTTTAAGAGAAACAAGTGAAAGTGTGCGTTCATCAGATAATCCACAGTCATCATCTCCGTATTCCACGACTTTCTTTCTGTGGAATGACTCCACCCTGAATGCTTGAAATATACGAGCTGCAGCTTGAGTGGATTTACGAACAGCACTTAAAGAACCTTCGAGTGATTCAGTATGAGGACCCTCTACAGCGAGCTGGGCAGAATCAATGCCAGTGAGATCTTCAGCAACTGGTAACCCACACACTTCTACAGTGCTATCATTTGATTCTCTAATAGTAAGTGCTGACAGATGGCTTGTCAAAGCAGATTCTGCGAGAAAACCAGCAATCCCCTTGTGTCCATTTACTGAAGCTAAATCGGCTGGACTTCTTCCAGAAGGGAACTCAGAAGTTGGATCAGTCAGTGCTCCTGCAGCAGCTCCATTTGCTATGAGAACACTAACTGTTCGCTCCCTAAAAAAGCATAAAATATGGGGTTCAATAATAGAAAAAGGACCAAGCTCCTAATAAAGTACAAACAAAGTGCAAGATAAAGGGATGAGAAAGAAATAAAGGTAGCTTCTTTTACATAAAACTCTAGTGAAGCATGGACATCCCAGTTTAAAATAGCTTTAATCTGTGCAAGCATACCTTCCCAAAGATGCAGCCCAGTGGAGTGCAGTCCATCCATGAGCATCCCGAAAGTTCACATTTACACCAGCAACCATTATCGGTCTTATAGCCCAATCATAATCCAGTGCTGCTACTAAATGAATTACACCCTGTCCTTCCTTGCACAAAACATTGGGACCCTTTCCATCATCGTTTACTTTGCAGATGAGCCATTGATGCAGCTTCTCTTTCACCAGTTTCTTTAAACTTTGGACCCTAGCAGTGGAAACTACTTCCTTGACAGAAGAAGATTCTTGATTTGACCATTTCCCATCAAGCATTAAGGAATTTATAGCATTTATTATCTCATATTTCTCATTACCACTGCTTATAGCAAGCATATGATGGTCATCTGGCCCCAAAGTGAGTAGCTTCTCAAGACGAATATGTAGATGCATTTCATTTACACCATTGGCTTGGGAACGAGAAGTCTCCATGTACTGAGCATCAGAATCACGATACTCAAATTCTCGCACTTCACTACAAGCCACCCTGTTTGAACAGGTCACATAAAATGGAACTCTTCCTGATTGATGTGCTGGTGCATAGCAGCGTAGGGTGCCATCAGTCAAAACCTCAGCTGGTACTTCAACATCCCCAAACATACATGACCACTTGTGATTTTCCACATGTTCTTTATTCACCAAGAATGTACCAGTAACCGAAACCTGCAACGTTAGAATAATTAACAACTAGAAGGAGACATGAGTACTACAAACTGCTGAGTAACTAACTAGAATTATCAACCTGTAGTCTATGGAGGTGAAAACCATAAATACTGTAAGAATAGAAGCAATTAATAGTGCAAAACACCTTACGCACCTTTGTATTTGTACCAATATATGCACAACTTGGTGAAACATCTAGAATGCTAAATAGTTGGTCTTGAGAAAGTGAAGGGCTCACTACATAAGCATCTAGCTGTTCATTACTCAGCACATTAGAACCATCAGGCACCTTCACTGTCTCAATGCTACTCCAGAAAGCATCAGAAGTGGATTTAATACCCAAATCAACCACTTCTTCAAGTTCTTTACTCATCCATCTTGAAAAGCTGTCATGTTTCTTCAAACCAGGAGTCTCAATCGTCAATAGATCCAATGATGACTGCTTCAAGAGTGGATGTTTGATGCTACCATCATTATATCTATCTCCGTTCACCTGAAAATTTTGTATAAAAGATTTTTTTTGATAAAACACCATCAAAAGCTGTTTTTCATAAATCAGATAGATGTGCACTGCATCATAATAGTTCTATTTTCAACCCTTTTGCTCAAATGTATCATTATAATTGATGTACACCTAGTCTGAACGAGCTACAATGCTTTTGATGCAACAGGTATTACCCTGGGTCACCTGCACTAACACCCAAAGTAAACTCCCACCCGCCTCTACAGACTCAAAGTAAACAAGACAATCTGAAGTACCTCTGATGCCAATATGCCAGTGAAACCCAGTGCATCAGCTTCCTTCTGGCTGAGGTGGTTAGTGTATAGAGCCTCAGATGTAAATGTGTGCAAACAAGAGCTATCGTCCAGATTGTTAGCCTCTAAGCAGGCAAATGAAGAATGGAGTGTTGGCTCTGTGAACCCAGCTGAATAATTTGCAAAGGGCTCGTTGAATGGCACTGAATCAAACAGAGTGCTGGAAACATCGCTTAGCCCAATGTTGGTGCCATCGAGCATTCTAGTTATGTCGTGGTGAGAAAATGAACGGCTATCTAAGTTATCTGTTATTGGCAGCATTTCACCATGATAACCTGGGAAAGTTCAAGGGGAAATGATTTAGAAGATAGTATTAACACAGAAACCCAAAATCTCAAATACAGAGGAGTGACTCTTGCCTTGTCTACTATCAACAGTTGAAGCGGAAGGGTATAACATGTTTTCCGTTATGACTCCATCCACAAGCTGCTGCATCTCAGCGAGAGGGTGGTATCTGGAGCTTGCTCGGCAATTATCTGCTGCACCGAATTTCGCTTTAGATACACTGAAAGAAGGTGCATAATTGAATCTGCATCAGTTAATCTATACTTAGAGTAGATGATGCAGAAGGAAGATAGAGAAACTGCGAGACCTGGTTCAGTGTCTTCATATTCTGAAATCTGTCCGCTTATTGGGCTTTCAGCAGCCTCCATATTTTGTGGGCCCATCTGGTTCTGACTAGTGATAGAATTTGAACATGAAGGACTATCAACATTGGATAACTGCATAAATTCTTCTTTCACACGATTGAAACTTTGCTTGCATCCCTGGAAAGTTAAACATAAACAAGCGAATAAACAAAATGCCTCAACATTTTTATCAAATAGCAATAGGAATGTAAGTTATCCTTCCATTCAACCAATGCTTTATATTCGTAGTCCAGAAGAATTTATTTATTGTATATGAAACAAAAGTGGACCATTTCCAAATAAATGACTCCATGCAAATCATAGTCATTTGTGTGCGCGCACTTTAGAAAGGTATATAACCAAAATGTGTACCCTACACCTGAAGAGAATGGGGTGTGTTGACTGTAGTGGCAAAGTGATCACCACAAAATGCAAGAGAGGATCCCAAGCGGGATGTAGAACCAAGTATAGGTTGGAAGGGAAGTTGTAAACCATAGCTAACAAGGCCATTGGTACATGTCAGTGATGTCACAAGTATGCGAGCGAGCATAAGCTCATGTGGTATTTCATATATATTTGTTACTACAGCCAGTGAAGATAGGTGTTTTAGACACATTTCCTAGCACAGGTGGTAAATCCAATGTGTACTCATTAAATAAGATCTCCACAAGCCATTTTCCAGTGACAAGTCACCCAACAAGGAAATACACAAAAACGGGAAAGATGAAAGAGAAGGTTAATGGACTATGAAATAGAATGTACCTTGACTTCTAGGTAATGTACAAGAACAATATGAGTGAAATCCCTGAAAAATAAGAGAAGTCATTTGATTACAGTCACACTTTCCTCTGAGTATGAAGTTAACTACCAGTCTACCATCCAAATGAGTGTGGAATCACATGAATGCAACGGTCAGCACTTACTCTTCCAACAGCCAATATGTTCGCCTTTGAAAGTTTTCATTCTCCTCTCCATGGGCATAGTAGCAATGGAGTACATCAATGCTGCCAGCCTAAAATAAATAGGACTAAATTAAAATATATACTAGTACCAGATAATTAAGTAGGACTTCTGCAGTTCTACTTGCAGTAAATCTGACATAATTTATGTTTCCTTCATGTCATAGTTGTATACAAACTCGTGGGTTGTGAAACACATCTTTCATGTAAGGGGGTGTTTAGATGCTTTTGGAATGGCAAAACTTTTGGCCCTAATCTTTTGCTGCAAATCTTTAGGCATTCAAACTTTACATCTTGGTGTTTAGATGCATGGCAAAACTTTAGCACTGTACCAAACAAAGACTGATTTTCCCTCATTATCTTCTTCCTCTGCTCGTCCGTACGCCGAGCTCGTGCACATCGGCCGCACGTGAGGGGCAAGCAGCGGCCTCACCGGCATGCCCTGCCCCTCCCCAGCAGCCAGCGGCTTCCCTGCCCCGGCGGCCCGCCCCGCCGCCCTGCCCCGTTGCCTTGCGCGCGGCTGGCCACCGCGTCCTGCGCCGCCCTGGGAAGCCCTAGCTCGAGCTCGCCGTGGCGGTCAGCGCCCCGCCCAGCTCCGGCGCCGCGCCCCGCCAAGATCCGGCAGCCACGCCCCGCAGCCCTGCCCCTTTTGGGAAGTCCGAGCTCAAGCTCGCCGTGGCGGCCAGCGCCCCGCCCAGATCCGGCGGCCACGCCCCACCCTGCTTCGGTGCCGCGCCCTGCAGGTCAGCCGCTCCAGCGCCCGAGAGACCACGCGCGCGAGACGGAGGCCACGCGCTCGGGGGTAGTGGGCGTCCGGCTCCCGCCCCAACGCGTTTTTGCCCAGCTTTTGGCCTCTTGGGTCCCAAATGCCAAAAGTTTAGCAGCTCAGGTTTTGCTCTTTTTTGCCCATGCTGTTTAGATCCCATTTTGCCAAAAGATGGGCTAAAACAGCAAAAGTTTTGGCAAAAGAGGGGAAATAAACATGGCCTAAGTATCAGTTAACAGGTAACAGGCTCAGTCAGTGAGATGATGGAATTATGCCCCAGCCTATGGGATGCAACACTTCCCACCTGCATGCAACAGCTTCTCCCCCAATGTAAAGTTCATTGCTTAGGTCTAAATTGAATGTAGCAGCATAAGATAGAAGTTGTTAGCAACTCCATAAGTATGGATAGCAGTGCCATCTGCAAGTTGTTAAAAACTCCACAAGCATGGACACCATCTATAGTGGATAGGTAGTATTATAGACACAAAAATATTTATCACCACAACAGCATATGCTCAGGTTTTAGCAACACCAAACCGATACAGGAGTTACAGAATGCACAATAACAAGTAGCAAATGCCAAAAATGACACAGAACATCCCAGCATCCGCAGTTAAACTTTCAGTGCAGCCTTCGAGATATTTATTTTCTTTGAAAAGAAAAAGAAAATAAAAATATTTACTCACTTTCAGTTTCTCATGAGCTTCTTTGACAGTCTTCCCATCCTTTTTCTTTCTCCAGTTGTGGCCATCCTTTCTGAAGTACCTCAGTACTTTGCGATCAAATAGAAAAAGGGAGCCACCTATTGCAGTCACATGGAAGTTTAAGTAATGAGAATCAGTGCCAATGAGAGGGTGACCATTACAAACTATAAGAATAGCTTTGACCAAATGAAGCAATCAAACTGTAGAGCTAATACTATTATAAGAATAGCTTTGACCAAATCAAGCAATCAAACTGTAGAGCTAATGTAACTGTTGTGCTATTCGTGCTAAGGGAAACAAAACTATATTTTCTTGTAAAGAATCTAAAGAAAGAGGATACTGAGCATGGCTAACGTATCATCAGTGATGACTTAAAAGCAAATCATCATGCGGTGGTGTTGTCTAGCGAAAATCACAAACCATTCACCATAAAATTTGGGCACCAGATCCCCCAACACATCAAGTTGCCAGAATTCTGTTTCAGAATGAGAACATACTTCTGATGGCATCATAGCAAGCAGAGGAAGATATGTTGAGCCCACAAAGCAAGCGAAATTTGTACCACAAGCTGTATCACTAGCTACTCCCAAGAAATATACACAGCCTGCCGAAATGCACATGCGAAGGTGCCAGCAGACAACAACTCTAGAGTAGACTCCATAGTCCATAGCATAAATACATCATATAATTGCTAATGGAATTAATGAGCATATTTATTAGGCCAGTGTTCAGAACTCAGAAGCCACCAGTACCTAAAGAGAGCACAAAAACATAACAAGGAAAAGTAAATAAAAAGGAAAAAGAAAGTAACCATACTCCTGGGCATGTTGGGCGGCTCGGCCGCGATGGAGAAGAGCTTGTAGTTGGACAATATCTCGCAGATTTCGGTGGGCCGCAGCCACCGCTTCTGAGCCTCCTGCAATATCTGCGAGATGTCTGCAGATTCACGACGATGTTTTAGTTAGTCACCGGTTAGTCAACGCCAACAACTGCCCCCGCCACCACTCGCATCCGGTCCTCGTGCTCGCTCTGTTTGGTACCGAAAACCCTTTTTGTCCGCTCTGAATTATTGGGCGGAAAAGTCAGCAAAACGCCAGAGACTAGCCAATCGCTTTCTTTGGAAAAAAAGAAAAAGAAAATACGTGGCCGATGAAAGAGAAACTGATCCAGCTCAGAATTCCACAAGGCGATAAAGCAAATTTGCAAAGACCGGAAATGGAACGGAATTCCTTTTTTTTTTTTTTTAAGAGCGTGAGATTTCGCGGGGACTGCAAGAACATACTCCAGGACGCACGGCCTTTTCTCAGATGTACTACTCCGTTTAAGACGGCTTGTCCTCGATCGACACAACACGTGAAGGTTTTTTTTCCTTCTCTCAATCTTGAGACGAAAACGCATCCGTAACCGTAACAAACCAAACCGCCAGAAAAGGAAAATCCATCGAATTCTCCGTGCTCTCTCTCCCGTGGGAAGCGCAGAAAACCCCAATCCCGGAAGCAGAGGCGACGACTCGTACCTGGGGGCTGGCCGGGCAGCACGAATTTGCGGGTGTCCGCCATGGCGCCTCCCCGATCAGACAGACAAGCAAACACTCCTCCCTCCCCCGTCTCCCGAAGCGGTCGGAGGCGGGCGTGCTTAAAACGGGGGGGAGGGGATCGAGGGAGCGCGGACGGAAGCTTCGGGGAAGGGAGGAGGAACGAACGGAGCGGGAGGGCGGGGCGCCGTCGCGCTGGGAAAATTTATTGGCCTGCGGACGGAGGGAGGAGGGGTGAGAGGTGGGTCATACGACGACGAGGGGAGGTGGTGAGTGTGAAAGGGAGTGCGCAGAAAAAGTAAAGGCGTCGTGGGCGGAAATGACGGGGGTGTCCCTGACCCTGAGGTGAGAGAGTGGAGGAGGAAGCCTGGGGTCGGGGGGGGATTTTTCACTTTTACCATTATTACGGATGCGCTTTCCGGTTTGGCATTCTTAGAAATTTGGTCTTTCAAGTCCATCACTCTTAAGATTGGCCTCTTGCCGCTTTTACCACTTTTTTTCCGACGCGGTCGAGCCTGCATACGACCGACACGCCGGATCGTGGTGGTCGCCCACATGGAAAAAGATTTGACGCCGCCCGTTTGGTTTCACTTGGCGAGCAGGCCGGCCAGTTTGCTCGCCCACTCATTCATAATATGTGAATGATCGATTCTTGATCCTTTATCATTTTGTGATTGTTCTTGGTTAATGACAGCAACAATTTGGAGATGGCAAAATTAGCATATTATGAATGACAGTCAAGGATCATTGAAACAACAACAAATAAACAGACTAGAGCAATAATGCACATAGGCATTACATAAGTTCATGATCCTGGCATTAGATAGTGGCTAACTAAGAGCCATTACATAAGTTCATGATTTTGATGTTTTTCACATCCAAATAGGGCCAAATGCTATCAATTTTGTGCCCATAACACAGATTACATGACAAAGTACTTCACACAAAGTTCAAAATAACAGGATTGGTCACTTGGCCCTGCCCTTGCCCTTGCCATTCCAATTGCCTCCTTTCTTCTTAGCTGGTAGAGTTTTCTTCGCTTTGGTTGCCAACTTCTTCTTTTTGGGTGTCATTTTCTTCACAGGTCCAGCATGTAGCTCTTCTTCTAGGAAAAGTGCCCTGTCATGGAACAAAACTCACAGTAAGATTTATGGTCAGGAATAGTTCCAATCCAGTAGCCTAAACAAGATTGCATGATCACCTTCTTCTTTGTTCTTTATGACTATAGATGGATCTGGGGCAACAGTGGCTAAAGGGATCAGTGACAGCCCTGCTTCTTCTTCAAATGCTGCTTCATATTCATTTGTAGTAGCCTCAGCTAATTCCCTAGCTTGCCGCTACGCCTTTTCCTTCTTCTGCTGCTTTGCAAGTAGTTCAAACTTCTTACAGATCCTCCTTGCTCTTCTCTTTGCCTCCCTAGCCGTGCTCCCCTTGTCCTTGGAGTGGGTGCATCATCACCATCTGCACTTGTCTTGGTCTTCTTCCTCCCAACCTTGGCAATCTTCTTCTTAGTTCTTTTCCTGCATAAGTTAATAAGCACTTGTTAGTTTAGATGAGAAAATAAAAGGTTAATGCATGTTACATCTTACAAAGTTGAGAGGGCACCTTTTCTTAGTCCCATTGAGGGGACACTTGGAGCTAGTAGCCCCTGTGACCATACTCCTTACAGTTTGGGTAATCGTGACTTGCCTAGTAGCTCTCGCCTCCCTGTCTCACTTCTTTGGTTTAATCCTATTTATCCTCAACCTTCCAGAGCTTTTTCTTCTTCTCTTCTGTCAGATTGGAGCATGCACTTTGTAGCCCTTCTTATCTTGAGCCATTGATTCCTATCAGTTATGCTTGGTATTATTCCAAGCATAAGTCGCTTGGAACTTAGCCACCGAGTAGCAATTGTCCACATATGAGCCCATGTCAGTGCCTCATGCTTGTAATTACGGTCCAGTGCATGTGGACATGGTTTACAGATTAGCCGCCATTGCCTACAAGTGCAAATTTTTACGAGGTAAGTATACAACATGTCTCCTTACATCTTCATCTTTGTAAACCTCTGTCACTTCAGCTTCAGTTGGGTGACCTTTTGTAATGTTCATGTGTCCCACCCCTAGAGGCATTCAATTTGAAGAATGACAAAGAGTAATATACCCCGAGGCAAGGCTAGAGAAATCTTCCTTCTTTGCCAAACAACACCATTATCTTCTCCCTTATAGCATCTCGCCATGCAATGCAGAGAAGGTGTCCTTATGCTCCTTGATCCAAGAATTCCAACTTTCAGCTAGATTGTTGTTTATGTAGTCACACTTGATGTCGGTGAAAACTTACTTCTTGCCCAAAGAAATGGATGGTGCTCATCCAACCACTTCGCACTCCTTGGCTTGTCGCCAACACCTTGTCAAAAAAATACTTGTGCTTGTGTGGAGAGTATGCTCTAGTTGCAGCCACATGTTCTTGCCATATACATCACCACTATAGTACTTCTTCATGTTCTCCATTAAATGCCCCAAACACTCTCTCATCTCGCTTGAGGAAAAACCACTTTACAAAGCAGACTCTAACCCCTTGCATGCATCTCAGACAGATGGCTAGAGGATCCATTGGTCCAATTGCTTTTCTAAGTTGTTGCATGAACCAAACCCAATTGTCCTTTGTTTCGATTCAAAGAACCCAAATGCAAGAGGAAACATCCAATTGTGTCCATCTAAAGCTAAAAAGGTCAGCTGGCATGTGGCCATTCCACATGCCATTCAAGGTATTGAGTCCATACTAATATAAGGCTGCAGACCATTCACAAATCCATCTATACATGCTTTGAATGCATGTAAAAAATCTCATTGAACCTAACTTTGCCTTCTTCATCGGGTTGTAGTGTCTATCTCTACCACACTACCAGGTGATCTCAATTCAATTTCAGCCTTAAACCTATACAACCAATCAAAAGAATCACTGATCTTACCAAATAACTTGTCAGATGCTCTCTTTGTCCCTTTGTACACTGTGTGGTAGTTGACATCAATCCCATACTTGAACTTCAACTCTTTCTTCATTTCTGTAGCCCCCATTCCTGGCTTCTTCTTTAAGAATTGAATTGCCCTTTCTGCTACCCATTTGATATTGGCCATTGTTATGTCCTCAACCCTTGTTGTAGATGCACACTTGTGCCCCCCAGTATTTATTTGAATCTGCAAAAAATAGAAAACATGGTACATTATAGTTAGGAACTGTTGGACAGACCATAATGAACTAAGATCAGTAAGAAACCAGCAATAATAACCATATCAGTAAGCAAGTCACTGCAGAAAATGTACCCTGCAACTTCCATCATGCTGGGTTTTACCCACAAGTCTCCATGGACAGCCACGAGCACCACATCTAACCCTGTATCTATCTCTATCTGAGTGTTCAGTTTGCAGCTCAAACTCTTTTTTTATAGCATGTTGCCTAACAGCTAGCCTCAATTCATCAATATTAGGATAGCAAATGCCAACACTCATATCAGGATTGTCCCTGTCCCATTCATACAAAGGCTCCTCATCAGCTGTATCATCAACATCCACAGCAGCTTCATTCATTTCTTGCTGCACTTCAGGAGGGATTGCTGGAATTGGTACCTCTTCTGTACCACCTTGTTCTTGTGTTGCCTCAGACTGCTGGAACCCCATAGCCTCATATATCTGTTCCTCATCAACAAGCTGTGTAGCAGTACCATCATCATCAGGCTTCTCTTGTATGACTAGAGTAGTCCAATCAATTGCTACTGGCACTTCAGCAGGAGGAGTTGGGGTGCTGCAGGTATCACCAAAACCCTCAACATCTACAGGTTCTGTGTTTGGTTCATTGCCACTAGTCACACCAGAGACACACCTACCTCCCTTAGATGCAGCAGAGCTATCATTGTCATTGCACAGATTTTTGTTCACAACTTCCACATTAAGAAAAGCCAATCTGTCACCCCATCTATCCTTGACCATTTGGTTTTTATGCTCATCCCTCCTAAGTCGCCACTCAGAGCGAAGATCCGATCTACAACCCACACCGAAAGTGTTTGAAGAGGCCCCAAATGATCTTTGAGCTTAAATCCTCATGGAATCGAGCAGGAGAGTAAGAACTGTCCCTATCAAAACCGGATGTGATGGTGGTCTTTGCTCGACATGTCCACTAGCCCATATTCGCCATCGCAACATATCGAGAAACCTTAACAACTAGCCTAAACGCTTCGCCGGGATCGATCCTAGCATCATGATAAACAATCAAAAGCAGATAAGCAAATACATTCAAAGGCCTACGATGGGACGGGGACGGGAGTGCAAAGTGCATACCAAGGAGAGGCGGTCGAGAATCGCCATTGCGGACGGGGAGATGACGACGTACTACATCAAAAGGCCTACGAGGAAGACGAGGTCGTTGACCTTAAACCTTGTGTGCGGGTGGCAAAGAAGAGTAAGGGCACATACCTTGATCCGTCTGGTAAGGTTGAACCGGAGGCCACCAAGGACAATGGTACCGGTCGTCGTTCTTTGAAGCGAAGGCAGCCAGCGGCGTGAGCGGAGGAAGAAGAAGGCGATGGCGGCGGCGGCTCACGCATTGGGGAGAAGGGCGGCGAGGAGAGAATGAGTGGGCGAAGCGAGCTGGCCGGCCCGTTCGCCAAGTGAAACCAGGCGGGGCGGCGTCGTTTTTCTGTGTGGGCTGACCCACGGATCCAGCGATGTCGAAGGCGGTCGGACCGCCACGTCGGAAAAAGTGGTAAACGGCAAGAGACCAATCTTAAGAGTGATGAACTTGAAAGATCAGCCCTAAGAGTGCCAAACCGGAAAGCGCCATCCGTAATAATGGTAAAAGTGAAAAATCCCCGGGTCGGGGTGGGTGGCTGGTGGTCAGTGGTCTCACTGGTCAGGCCACCGGCACCGGGGGTGGGTGCGTCTGTGTTGTCGTGGCTACCGTGGGACACTTGGCCTGTTGCGCGGAGAGAATCCGCCGTTTTCGGATCAGCTCCTCCCTGCCTGTCCTCTCCTCTGGTTTTAGTTTAGTTTG